GCATAGTAAGTGCTCGAAACTCGATAAATGTGGCCAGCCCCGAGCTTGGGGGCTCCGGGCTCCACCCGCGGCCTCGTAGGGGTCCGCCTCCTCATCAGCCCTCAGAGGAGCCGTGGGTGCGCAGGGCTCCCCCCCCGCCCTGGGAGCGCGGAACCGGTGGCCCCTGTGGAAGGCAGGACCACTCGCCTTTTGGTTCTCTTTGCTCCCCCCGTAGCGTTAGAACAAGTGTATTCGCGTTGCAAGGGTGACGGTTAGTTAATTAATTCACCTTGAAAATGAAGCTGCTCGAAGTGTTAAGTGTTCTCTTCCTCCTCCTTGTCGCCCGTGGCTTTATAATTTCCTCTGGACCTCCTTTTGTTTAAATGATATGGATATAAATGCAGTGGGAACAGCATTAAGCCAACTAGTGTGTAAAAATAGCCGAGCCCCTGAGAGGTCTGCATGATGATTTTGGTTTGAGGAGCACTCGGTAGGTACAGCTCTGTCTGAAGCAAGGGTAGTGGTAAGGGATAAAAATCGTGGTGCCTGAGCGTCTTGCCCTTTTCTATATGTCTGCATTTAAAGCCAGACTCAAATGTGCTCGTTACCAAAGTGTGTGTTTGTTTGCCTGTGACTTTAGCACATTCGCCTCCAGTCTCTTGGCTCTAAGCCCCACTTTCAGCTCGTTGCCCTCCCCCCATTTTAAAGCTGTGCTCTTGACAGGCCACGTCTTGGTGGTTGGGGTTTGTTACCCGTTCTCACAGACCGAGCTGCGGATTTTTGAGAGGTTTCTGCTCCAGGTGACCAAGCTGCTCTCTTGTAGGAAATAATCACCACCGCAGAACAAGCAGGAGCAAGGGTGTGCCTGCTGCTATGGAGGTAGCTTTGGCTGGGCAGCCGGGCTGGGAAGCAGGGCCTGAGGTTGGGCTGGGGTCTGCTGTGCCGCTCTGGGCCAGTGGCTCTAAGTCTGCCACTCCTGCATCAGACAATGCAGAGGCAGCGAGCACTTGAGCAAAAATGGAGTATTGCAGGCACCGGATCGGCTCGCAGGTTTTCAGTTTTCTGAGTCCCCTGAGGTACACATGCAAGATGCTCAAGAGAGATTTTCTCAGTCCTCCAAATAACGCTCGGCTGATAAGCACGTGCCACTCTTCATCGTGCTGTTTTTGATGCAGGGCTTGTGTTTTGCAGACAATGAGTGGAAACGAGCACGACTGGCTGGCTCTCAAACCCCAGGAACCTTCTCCATCCCAGTGCTGCGGCAGCGGCTGCAAACCCTGCATCTATGATGTGTATGAGAAGGAGCTTGCACAATGGGAGCGGGCCAAAGCAAAGCAAGACAAAAGCCTCCTCATGGAAAAGAAAGAGCAGGTCAATTTATCTTCATCACATCCTAGAGCCTGTGCTTTGATCGTACTTGTGAGTGTGTGGGGCTGTGGTGGTGGGTGAGGGATGCAGCAGCAGATTAAAGCGGTGCCTTAAGAGAAGGCTGTAAACACAATTCCCCAAACTCTGCCTTCCCAGCCGCCCTTCCCCTTGCCCGCTCTCTCCCGTTTCTAATGTGATTTTCCAAGTGCCGAGTTCGCCCCGGTGTCACGTTACAGCGCTGGGGCTGCAGCTTCTCCTTGCTGGGGTACCCCAGCCAGCCGGAGCCAGCCTCTCTGGAAAGTGGGAGTAGGTGAAAGGTACGAAGAATTTTCTCTGACAGTTTCCTCGGAGAAGCTCTGTTTTCCTGACCTTTCTCATCTTTTCCCGATTTTTAGACTCCTATTTAGAGGATGAAAAAAAGCTGCATTGTGTGTGGTGGAGTAGTCTTCAGAGTGTAATTTTAAGCTTGTCGGTGTCCTTTTACATAAGATTTACTATGCTGGGTCAAGCAAAAATGATCAGCATTGAAACAGCTAACAGTATTTCCTGTTTGCAGTGGTCATCAGTAGGTTTCAAAGTTGCCCCCAAAGCAGCACTCAGCTCTTTTAGCAGTATTATTTCTGTTTGTTTCCAGATGTGATAAAATGATTGCAGTGAGTCATAATAGGATGACCTTGCTGTAAGGTGTAAAAAATATAACTTAAAAAGTGTGTGGGGGGAATGCAAGATCCCAAAGTGCATGACACAGAACATGATAATGAATCAGCAGAGAGCTGAAATTTGCACTGGGCCCCAGCATTTAATACACGTTCTTCTGGAGTCTTGAGTATCTCCAGCACTAAATTAGCGCACACGTTTGCTTCCAGAGAAAAATGAAATAATAAAAGACACCATCTAACCAAGTAATTATTTATTGTTGTTCTTGCAGAGCAGTAATTCAGAACTGAATCCAGATACATTTACTGGATTCAACATCATCTCGGTGGAGCAGCTAACAGAGGACACCTACCAGTACAAATTTGAATTACCGGGAAATAGCAGTCTGCAATTGAGTTTAGGACAACATATTGTGTTAAGGTATTGTTCTCTGTGCTAGTTAAACAGTCTGCATTATGTAACCTAATACGTAGGTTTTTGTCAATAGACCAAAGGCTTCACACCAGGCAAATCATAATTTCTATACGTTCACAATGACACAGATGAAAGAATTTGTGAGCTCGCTAGCTCTGCTGATTTTATGGTAAAAGCCATTCCAAAGCTGTATTTTTCTTTGGCATTATCCTTGTGTCGGTGGGTCAAAAAGAACTAGATGTGATTAAGAAAAGCCATTTGCAGAAAGAAAGACTCAAAGAGTGGATGTTACAACAGATAATTTACTCCAGCGTGTCAGAATGAAGACAATGAGCTGCACTTACCCCAGAGCTCGGTATTTTACGCCCTGTATCTTGGGGTAACTCAGCACCTGGGGTGTAACCCCTGGTGCCCAGGCATTTCCTGACTGATACCTAGCGAAACAACCCTCCTGTGTAGTTTATTGCTTGCCAGAAAGGAGCCACTTGGGAAGAGTTTATGGCGCTCTCAGCCATCTGTGGTGATCATTGCCAGATAGAAAAAGTCATGTTATGATGCCATTGATCTGTATCTGTTGACGTTATTTGTACGTTAACAGCTGATGTATACAGCTGGCTGGCTGCTGAAAGTACACGCTTCTCCCTTCAGCCATCTCTCGTAATGCAGCAGAGGAAAAGGTTCAGTCACTTCAATCAATTACTGTAGTCAGTAGTAAAGAGCAAGGTGGATATATTCTATGGAAAGAGAAGACTTACAGGAAAATACAGTGTCTATTGACAAGGCCTCAGGTCAAGGCTGTGCCCTGGCTTTCGTGATTTAATTACCAGATGCCGTGCAAACACAGAGAGGAAAGTAGACCCCAGCCCAAAAGGGTTAGCCAGCTGAACCATGAAAGCATTTTCTCTCCCCTTTCCCGCTCTTGCATGTTGGGCTGCTTCTCACAAAATGGCTCAAACACCCTTCCAGGGGTGTGTCCAAGAGCTGAAGGTATGGGTCCACCACTGGGAAAACAAAAGGTGAATTTAGCCATTATGTTCCCCCTGGATTTTTACCTCTGGAAGGGAAATGTTTTGCATCTCTGCACAGGCTGGGCCACTGGGAAGAGGACCCGCTGCCTCCCTCGTCTCCCCAGAGAACTGCAGAAGTTTGGTAAGACCAGTCAATCACCCGAGTCACAGCGGGTTCCTATATTTCTGTCCTCAGAGGAGTGGTGAATGGTTTGGAGGTCCAGCGAGCCTATACTCCGATTAGCCCAGGGAATGCAGAAGGGTACTTTGAAGTTTTAATGAAAGTAAGTAAGCCTGTACAATATGGATTAGAGTCTAAGGTGCCGGGGACTATGTTTTCTTTAGGAACCAAGCACGCTGTCAGCACTTCAAGAGAGACTCTCTCAAATCCCTCATGGACTGTTTCTGTGTTGTTTTGAAGCAGTTATGCTTTGCTGATAAATATTGCAGTTTTTCCCACAAAACTGAAAGCAGAGGAAGGTGACATACAAGCAAGTGCTTTGCAGCATAAGCCCTGTTAAGCGCTTGGGAGAGCCTCTCAGGAGCCCTGTGGTCACCAGTGTGGAAAGAAGTGCCCATTCCACTTCCCCAATTTCATTTTGCCTTTTCAATCTGTCTTTGAAATCGCACCCAGTTGTCAGCCCAGTTGAACCACTGATTTTGGGAAGTCTTTGCCCAGCTGTTACCCTCCCCTCTGTATTTTGCTTTCAGAACACTCCTCAGAAAAAAATTTCATTTTGTTTAAAAATGGTTTGTGGGCAGGGCTCCAGAGCTGCCTGCGTTCTGAGAGGGTCCCTGTGGCCCACAGGCACAGGCTGCAGCTTTCGGGGTGGATGGGGTGGCCCCATTTTGGACGAGCGTCCTGGCCCTTTTGGAGGCCACCACAAAATGCTGGTTGAATTGAAAAGGATTTTATAGAAGAACTGGAAGTGTTCAAGGCCAGGTTGGATGAGGCTTTGAGCAACCTGATCTAGTGGAAGGTGTCCCTGTCTGTGACAGGGGAGTTGGAATTAGACCATCTTTAAGGTCCCTTCCAACCAAACCATTCTATGATTCTATGATAACTTGGCTGGAAATTTGTCTGAATAAAGTCTGCTGGGCCCTCATAAATGATTACTTTTGTGTGGAGAATGTCGAATTGAAGAAGATTTTTCCGATACTACATTTGTATGTCACTAGTAATTCCTCAGGGCAGACACAGACATCAGTATAGGTGTGAAATTCAGAGTGCTGGGTTTCCCAAGTGGCTCGCAGAGAATCACCACTTCTCTTCTGCCTGTCTTCCTGGATTTCACATTTTGGGGTTTATTATGAATTGTACATTCAAACACAGACACTGTTCTTTAGAAACGTGTACAGCTTCTATAGGACACCAGTGGGAGGGTCATTTCACCATTCTTGTGGCAATTGGTGTGTAGTAGGGGAAAGAAATGTTGCATTTGAGTTGCATTAATAGGATATGTTCACAGGATGACTGTGAAATTTCATGTATACTTGCTTATTACTCACAGGTTTTGCATTTCAATAATAATAGTAATGATTGTAATGATACCTTTCCTTTATATAGAACCTTTCATCCTAAAGGGAGCTATAGTTATTCTCTGGCAGTGACAAAAGAGGTTGGTAACACCCAGTGTAAAGCAGCCATTTTTATAACTCACTCTGTAGGTTGTGGTGTATTTCACACTATTCAGGCAATTTTGGAAAGTACTATATTATTATTATTATTACTATGCAATCCAAGCACTGTTCAAACCCTTCTGTCTCCTGTTATTATAGCATTGCATTTGTGATACTACAGTTAAGAGTGAGGGAGTTGCCATTTACAGAGCATAACCCTCTTTTTGAGTGATTTTATAATATTAGGGTTTCTCTCCATGTAAAACTGGGCGTAGAAGTTTTCCTCCAGGAGATTTTTTTTTTTTCTTTTTATTTAGAAGAATTCATTTAAAACCCATTCAATCACTTCTCACTTCAATTTTTTGAAATAATTTTGGTCAAAGAAGGATTGTTTTAGTTTCCATTACCCTGGTCCATTGGGAATAGGCAGTAAGTGGGGCTGATTTTTCTGCTCTTGCCTTGGGTTTCTGTACATTTTTGAAGAAGACAGGTATAAAATACTGCTCCTTTGATGCAACTGCACACTCTTTGCATGAGACTTAGTACCTGCCCAGAGCCCTCTGAATGTGAAATGTTTCTGACAGTAACTCAGAGCCTGGATGTGTGTATGTTTTGCATTTACCTTTTGAATGTAACAGCTGGTGCTAATAGTTCTTAATACTTCAGGTGTCTTGTTTAAGTGAGGTTGTTAGGAGGGGAGGAGCATCTGTGTTCTTTATTAGCTAACACTGCTTGCAAGCACAAGAACACGCTCGCTCACTTTTTCTTGGCTTCTTTGTGGTTCACCAATTTTGTTTGCCTGCAGTGCAGCTTGGTGGCCAGCCAAGGCACTGGGGTGTGGAGCCGGGCTTCAGTCCAATGCACATGCAGAAAATACCCCAAAATACGCTTCTTTCATATGGGCTGGAGGCTTCCGAGGCTTATATCACGTTTCATCTTTCGACCTCTGGTTGTGTTGCTCTTCCTCAGCCTTATCAGTGGCTTCACCTCTGTGCGAGACCAGTTGTCTGCCACAGCTGCTGGGCTTACCTGCTCTTGCTGTTTGGACCAGCCGCTGTTCTCTGGCCAGATCCCATAGGCTGTGGCCGTTCTCCTGTGCATGTTTGTTCTCATTAACCATAAAGAGATCATACATATAGGACATACGTATACATACAGCACATAGCAACAAGACTGCTTAGATGAGCCCTTCATTTTCCAGCCTCGACTTGCTTCCGTGTTTCTAGCAAGCACTGACCCTTCCTCATCAGTCATGAGTGAGGTGAGCAT